TCGATTTCTTAGGGTTTATTTGTATATATTTGACTGATATTACACCTATTCTAGAAAACTCGAAGTTGGTGTGGGAAATAAGATGTATTATATACGAAATTCTCAGTCCTTATAAATCTGTTCCACGTAACGCAACGTTCCCAAACGACACAATTGCGAACATCAAACTGTTTTTCAAATACATCTTTTCGGCTGCCAGCTGTCAGTATCTCACCCTCTACGATGGCACATGTTCAGGAAATGCCTAGTGAGCAGGAGTTGATCCAGAAATATCAGAAAGAACGCGAAAAGCGTATTGCAACAGATGTTATAGACGACTACGTTGATCTCAGATCAAAAGAAGCTCAAGATCTTGCCAAGGACCCATGGGTAGATTGGAACGCTCCGGCGATCCAGGACCCTCCCCTCAAGGATGGAAGCAGGGTAAAGTTCTTAATCAGTGGGGCTGGGCACGCCGGCCTACTTTACGCTTGTCGTCTGGTCGAGGCTGGATTCAATGCAAAGGAGATTGTATGCGTTGATATAGCGGGTGGATTCGGCGGCACCTGGTAATATATACCACTTTACTGTTTAAACACACATGGCGGCTAATCATTACAACAGGTACTGGAATCGGTATCCTGGGATCATGTGTGATATCGAAGGCTATATCTATCTTCCTCTTCTAGAGGAGACCGGATACGTTCCCAAGCATAAATACTCAATGGGCGCTGAGATTCGCGGTCAAAATGAGCGAGCTGCAAAAAAATTCGGTATCCGGGGCCAGTTTTGTACAAAGGTTGAGTCGCAGATTTGGGACGAAAACAAACGGATTTGGGTCATACAGATGACCCGTACCCTGGATACAAATGGCAAGACTGAATCTCTAACATGCTTTGCGGATTTTGTCATCATTGCCGGCGGCGTACTCAATATCCCAAAGATTCCCAGGCTCCCAGGTTGGGAAGAATTCAGAAACAGCAAACGTGTCTTTCATTCAGCTCGCTGGGACTACGATTATACTGGGGGTACCCAGGAGCAGCCAGACTTAGTCAACCTTCAAGACAAGACAGTTGCGATAGTGGGTACAGGTGCAACTGCAATCCAGATCATGCCTGAATTGGCCAAGTGGGCGAAGCATGTGTACGTTGTTCAGAGAACGCCGTCATATTGCGGATATCGCGGTAACTGCTTGACTAATGAAGAGCACTTCAAAAACTTATCAAAGGAGAAAGGATGGCAGAGAGCCCGGCAAACCAACTTTAATGCATGGGTCACCGGCAATCCTGAAGGATACGGACCAAATTTGGTGAATGATGGCTGGACCCACACTCCAGCTGGCCAAGGTCTTCTAGGCTCATCTAGAAAGACGGTTCAGCCACATGAGATTGAAGAACACATACAAGAACTCCATCGGATTGACCGGCCGCGTACCGAATCCATACGCAAGCGCATCGACGATTTGGTTAAAGATAAAGAAACTGCTGAGAAGCTGAAGCCATGGTATGGCAGTTGGTGTAAGCGCCCTACGTTCCATGACGAGTACCTACAAGCATTCAATCAACCCAATGTTACTTTGCTAGACACTGATGGAAAGGGCCTGAAGGCATTCTCTAAGAATGGTCTAGTGATTGGTGACAAGGAGTACGAAATTGACGCACTGATCCTCGCAACTGGATTTGCTCATAGTACTGGTCTGGATATCTCTAAGAAACTTGGTGCACCTATTCAAGGACGCAATGGGGAAACCATGTCATCTAGGGCCAATACTACGGACAACCCGCCACTTTTTGGACTTGCGTTCCCAGACTTTCCAAATCTTTTTTCTCCTTTTGCCCAGGGGGGCTCTTCTTCGTGGAATCTCACATCCATGTACGACGTTTCGGCAAGATTTGTAGCGTCCATACTCAAGCAAGCACATACGCAGGCGAAAGACGGGAGAAGGATAATCATTGAAGCAGATCCAGAGGCTCAAAAGAAATGGGGCGATGATATTGCTAAAAGATCTAGTTGGTTCGGCGCCTTGCTTACTTGCACGCCAACCTACTTTTATGGGGGGCTCGAAGGCCTCAAGATGTCGGAAAAAGCGAGCAAAGAGACCTTGGCAAAAAAGGCAAGGACAGCAGCCTGGGGCGGGGGTCCCGTCGAATTCAAAGAGATGATGGAATATCGGGCAGCTAACTTAGGTACTGAAGGGTTTAAAGTTAGTGTTGTAGCATAGAAATGATATTTACTAGTACGGCGGGCAGCGCTTATTATTCTATTATAATCCTGTATCAGCCGTTTTCTATGCTAGCAGCGCTTAGGTACTATATAATAGAGTTGCTATTAGTTAGTTTAGTTAGTCTAAAGAGCTCTGGACTGAATGAACCGACGTTGTAGGGTCACTATATGTATTAGGTTACTAGCTTCGCTATTAAAAGTGCTTCAAAATTGGCCCGTGCGTAGAAAATCTTACCTTAGAAGTGCTCTAGTATAACCTTAGAAGTATATACTTTAATTACGCGTACTACCTAATTGTAAGGGGCTACGCTCCGGGGAGCAATCGCTTGGTATACAAGAGGTTGTATTTGATAGAGAGCTATCTACGTCTACTT